GTGACAAGGGATCCATCAAACATGGTAATTTAACATACTATTGTATATATCAGAAATTAACTAAATGTTTCGATCAGCAGTAATTACTGAATTTACCATAAAGTTATCAAATAGTCCATTATTTGCTTTCAATTCTGGAATTCATTTTATAAAGAATTTGACTAATGCTCTTTCAGTAAAACAGGCATATATCCATGGTTGGCTCCATGCATTCCTGAACACTGGCTATAATATAAATCCATGCAATTAATTTAAAATGGCATCTATTTAAATGTCCTGGGGGTAGCAATAGCTTTTGTGCTTAAACTAGGAGGTTTTCATGACTGCAAATCACCTGCCGCTATTACAATAATTGGAAGGAGGAATTTATGCCTAATTACCTCCATCAAATACTTGGACTTAGTTTTTATTAACATCTCCTTGTCCAGTTATATGAGTCAGATTCTATGTCAGAAATTCTATATATGAGTGTTTAAATATCATTGATGATCAATAGCTTTTAATATTATTGTAGGGTCATAAATTTTATCTATTAAAAATTAAAACTGCAGTGATGGAGTTGTAATAAAATGAAACTAACTGCTGGGCCAACTATTCTCGCAACTTCAGTTATTTACTCTTCTAGCATAAACTGATTAATTAGACTGACTGGCTAATCTACTCTTTATATAGGATACTACTGTATTAATTAAACTGATTATTAGTGCTTGATTGTGAAAGGACATTTTTCTGTAATGGGAGAGGCTCTACTTTCTAAATCTGTATTTGTCTGTGATGTTATTATATCTAAAAACGTTTTAAAGTTGTAAGCACTTAATGCAGTAGCATAGTTGGTTGAGGCACTATGCTACAAGCTGGAAGGTTGTGGGTTCAAGTCCTGAGGAGGCCATTGGATTTTTTTCAATTGACTTAATCCTTCCAGCCACACTATGGCCCTTGGGTCGACTCAGCCTCTAACAGAAATGAGTACCAGGAATATTCCTGGGGGTAAAGGACGGCCGGAACGTAAGGCTGACAACCTTACCGCCATCTTTGAGCCGACCGTCTAGAAAGTGTGGGACTCTCAATGTCTCACAACCCTATGGGCCTTCACGTCCTGTTACAGGGATAGCTTACTTTTTTACTTTAAGCACTTCATATGTGGAGCCTAAATCCACTGCACTTATCTGCCATATTGGGATATATTATAATAATGACCAAGAGTGGTTAGTGATATCATATTTATGCTCTGTTGGTGGTAAATTTTGTGATCATTCAAATAAGTTTCTTGTCTGAGTGAGTGAAAAATTTGTTGATTACAGCTTACTTTTTTCTTCTATAATGAAGACAAATATTTATATAAGATCTAATAGTCTGTGATTATGGTACATTGATACAAATATTATGTTTCTGGACATTATCCATTGCCCTGTTTTTATCTAAACAGGACAGTGTTTTAGATAAAAACAGGAAAATGGATAATGTTGAGAATAATAATATTTGTAACAAAAATTTATACAAATGAAATTGTTGAATCTAACCAATTAAATAATATTCATAAAATGTGAGCATCTCAATTAGCTGATTATCGTCACAATAATCCTGCTAATCCTAAAATATGTTATGAGAAGAACATCAACTTAACCTCCTAGAGTATTACACAAAACTGAATTTGTAAAAATACTGGATTTAATATTAGTCTGGTACATAAAAGATACTTTTAAAAATCTTGCTATAATTACAAATATGGTGCCTAATAATAGCACATAATGGGTGCAGGCTAGTAGATAATGGGGGTTATGTAACATGATATCAATGGATGAATTTGTTAAGAAAACTCCAGCAAGACTTATTGTGAACAGGAATACAAATACATTACAGACAAAATATTGTCCTTTAATATATAAAATCTACATAATATTCCCCACATAGACATAGTATAGAGTCTGCAGTAAATACCTCTTTACAGAACTCCTAGTGGATCCTCAAAAGTCACCTATAGACCATGCAATTTTCTACCAGTCACATAACCAAAGCAGCTATGGCAGCCCTTCCATCTGCATAACTAACACTCAAGTCAAGAGTGAATCCATTTATATAGTTCAAATGTACAGACACCATATATTTCCTTCGTATAGTTACTTGTGGAGACTATAAAATTTATTTTCAAATAAATCCTGCAAAATATTGCACTTTACACATCACACGGAGAAGGCAGACTGATTCAATGCAAAATTTGCAGACTGTGTTTCTCTGCAGTTCACAGTGTTACTCCAGACACCAAAGAGTCTAGTTAAGGTTCTTCTTCACAATAAATAAAGTAAATCTCAGAGAGTGGGTTTATACAGCCTGCCAACCACATGTCCCTGCTTAACATCATGGGAGTCTAAGAGTGTGTTCATTTTACAGTCTCTAGTAGACTCTGGAAGGTATTTATCTATAACAGCAGAATAGATATCATGTAATTGGAACATTATATTTTGTGTCACTTGCCTTTTCTAGAAAAAGCTGATTGGCAGGTCATGTCAAAAGCATGGGAGAGAGATGATACAATTTTTTTTTTTTTGTAAATAAACTTTGAAAGAAGAATAAAGGTAAAAGGTAAAGCTATCCCTGTAACATGCCATGAGGCTCCCACATTTTGTCTAGACAGTCGACTCACAGATGGCAGTAAGGTTGTCAGTCTTATGTGCTGGCTACCATTTACCCCCGTGGAAGATTCCTGGTACTCATTTTTGTTACAGGGTGAGCCGACCCCAGGACCACAGTGCGGCTGAAAGGATTACGTAAATTGAAAAAATCCACCTCATCAGGATTCGAACTCACGACTTTCCAGCTTGTAGCATGGTGTCTCAACCAACTACACTACCAATTTTTCCCCCTTGAAAGAAGAATATAATAAAAATTTACAATCCAGGAATTCATTAGCATCCTTCCGTAAACATGAAGAATCGTCACATTTCATCAACACACAAATTTTGTTATAAAACTTCAGTTATCAGTTTCTCAGGGAAAATCTTGTACTTGCATCTATTTAACTAAGTATTTAGTCACACATTCAGTTATTAAATAATCTAGTTCATTAGTTAGTAATTTTATCATTGACCCACTCAATCGTGGAGCTAATCAATAAATAGATCTTTCAGTCATCATGTGATAAACTTTTACCATCTGGAACCAGTGAGAATATATGAAACAGGTTGAAATGGAACTGGATGATTTGTGCAGGAAAGCAGATAAAATAATAACTCAAGTAATATTTAATTAATTCTCTACAATAACTTTATTCTCTATTTAACTAGCCTATATGATATCAGACCACGTGACGTTATGGATGAGGTGGGTGTGACACTGAATTGGTAGCGATGATTCAGACAGGAGTTTTTAACTCAACTTGAGGGTGCTTGGGGCAAGATACAGGTGGTGTCATGCAAGGAACTTGTCACATTTTAAATTAAAAAATTAACTGAAAAATATATGGACGTTAGTGTCATTTTCCTCTTTACATATCAAAACTTATTTCTATACAGTCAGAAATATAACTATAATAATGTTGACATTATTATCTCCATGAGAAGATAATGTGCGAATAATATTGCTTAACACTTTTCTTCCTCTTTGGTTAGAATGTATTACACTTTCATTTTCTTATAAGAAAATAAGGAAATAAATAAATCATATTAAAAACTTCTTTTTAAATTGACGTTCACTCTTGAAGAGTACTATGTACATACTCTTTGACTAGGATTTGTAAACGGTTGTTCCTTGTTTTCCTAGTGATTTACCTGATTAATATCTTGCTTATATCTTCATGCCTATTCATTACATATCATGAAAAATTTCTTTTCAAATAATCTGAACTAAAAAGTATATAAAGATTGCACATTTCTGAAGCTCAATCCAGCTGTAAAATATTATAATCATAGAGGCCCATCTTTGTAAAATTGCTAATAAATTACTTAAATTACAGAACTTCAAAAGTTGACTCGACTTCTTTCATCATTCAACAAATTCTCATGTCATTAAAACAAAGTGCACCAAAAAGAAAAAATTATGTTACAGGTGGAAAACAAGATTTGTAAAATTATGTTTTATGGTTGTCCTTTTGACATATTTTCGGTAAATGTATATCTTAACCCTTTACAGGATAACCATTACTTTCATAGCCAATAACTCCTGTATTTCTGCTACAACATGAGTTTATGATGCTTTGTTTATAGAATACATGTGGTTAGGTTGTCTTTAGGCCACTCATACTTGATTCTTTGGGGTAAGGAAGAAACTTTGGATATCATTTAGGTTAAGAATACATGAATTTTTACTTCCACTCCCCAATATGTCTTCATGGCATAATGCTTAATTAACTGACCACAGTATACTGTGGTCTCAAATAAATGTCCTTTAAAGAGCAGGTATAATTATGTGCCATTAGCCTTCACAATAAATATCTCATATAAAATGATTATATTGTTTTATGTCTAGAATAAACAGCCACTGGTTTGCATTATGTCACTTATCCTTCAAAGGTAGGTATGAACAGTCTTTTTGGAGACCCAAAACGAATTTCAAATATATTTTAGATAAGTTTCATCCTATAAAGGGTTAAAATTCATACTTTACTCTGCAGTCTGGAATATATTTTTAATTCCTCAATTATAAAATTAATGATAAAGACAGATTTGAATTATCAGCCATTTTAAAAATGTTGTGTATTTAATTTATTTTTGTGAGTCTGTGGAACCGAATAAAATTTGTTCCAATACAGTTATGTATTCCTCTTACATGTAGTGACAAAGGGGATATGCATACTTATATGGACCTGCACTCTAAAATAGCAACAAACAAGTGTCATGCAAGGTGCAGTTATGTGAGATATGGAATTATTTTTAAAAAGAAGTTCGAGTCTAACCAATCACATACGCATTATCGTGACGTGTAATGAGGTTCAGAACGGGTAAAAGTCTTTGGTTTTTTGTCTGTATAAAAAATAAAATAAAAATTGAAACAAACTTATTACTTCGTGTTTTTCTTCTCCATTATTTCGCTCCATCTAAAATGTCATGTAATTGGGCAAAAATACCTATATGTGGATTTAAAATCTTATTGAGTCTACGCCATGTTGTTTTATCAAAATAAAATCCCTTCCATAGCAACACTCACCACAACTCCACTTTCACTCTAACACTGCCTTGTTCCACATCAAAGCCATTCCTATGTGTATATGCGCTTGTTGTTTTTACTTCATGCACTTAAATTAGTAACAGACATGTTTGTTTTCTGTTGATTAATTCGGTGAAGTTGTTTATGGCCCTGAATAGCAAGACAAGTAAAGTCCTGGATCAGGAACATTGGTTCCACTTTATAGCATTTTCAGGAGATGGAGAAAACATTCAGCACTTTGGAACAAATTCATATCATGACAGATCTAGAGAGAGACATTGTTCCCTTCTGTACTTAATATTTACTCAATGTAAAGCAGAAGTTACTTTACTGGTTGGTGATGTACAAGGCGATGATAAAACGTGGATGTGACATAAAACATTTAATCATAAATTCACAAATCACCGGTTCGTAACAAGTGAAAATTCCTCTCTTTGAGTACAATTGAAAACGTCATTCTTCAGGTCCTTGACTTAACAAATGTACAAAACGCGTGATAACTAGCTACATCATCATTTAATTCTGGTCCTGTTGATGATCTTTGGTTTTACAGCCTTCCCTTCTGAGATCTGATGTGACATCATTGCGGTTGCTCAGAGAATCCTGATTCAGTCAGCCCAGAAGCAAATCTGCCGCAGTGGTGGTGATGTCGGTTTTCATACACGCACTTCCAATGGGTGACGCTGCACTTGCACCAGAATTTGCTCTTGTGGCTGCCATTGGAGATCTGGCCTCGACTCCAGTATCGCCATCCAGGGCACAACTCGCCCTTTGGAATATGTTTTGGTTTAACGTAGAACAAGATGAAACGCCACTCCCATAGTAGTATGTGGAATCTGAAAAAAAGAAACAACACATACGGTGAAAGGAAAGATACCTGAAGGGTATGTCTTTGATAACTGAAAACTTTCAAAACACTACCTCGATTACTCCCTCTTCCAGGTATGCACCTAGAGAATCTTTGTTCACTCTTAACTTTATAGAACTTTTTTAAATCCATCCAGTTACAGTGGACGGAATTAATTAAACTTTTATAATAATGTGACATGAACGGCTTTTTATACTGTTCCCTGTGGCCTCGCGTTAACAGCGGTGTCCCCTGTTATGTCACAGTGGGAAGAGCTGTTACATCACCATGGGGAGGGGGCAGAGTGTTTACTGGCCTGTTACCATAGCAGCGGCAGTGGCTCCGATGCTGTTACGTCACTGCGGGGGGGGGGTGTTTACCGAGCGTTGCGCCCTCCACGTCACAATACTGTTAGTGTGATGGACCAGGATGAAACAAATCAAAATTTCTTTAAAGTTTATCCACAGATGTATTTATGCATTATGCTGAACACTACTTATGCTACAGATGCTGTTACTTTCCAGTTCATAATAGAGGGCGGAGCTATACATGTCCAGGTCCAAAACTTGAGGCCCTTTTACTGAAGAATAGTAGCAACTTCACTCTCTAGTAATCTTATTTCTTCTATCAATGATTTCCGCTTAATCCCGTTGTATTCGACAGACCTCTTCCATTCTAATTCACTAATTCAGATTTGAAGTGATTCTCGTGTGTTTCCTATACATTCTTCTCCCATTCATAAGATGCATTATGCACAATCATTTGATTTCAGTCTCATGTTTTGGTTTTATCTTTGTCAGAATGCCATGTAACATTTTAGAGATGGATCAATGAATGTATAAGGGGTGGGCCTTCTCGGCCCTTGCACTGCGACCTACAGTGATCTATTGCGCCTAACATCTTAGAGATAATAATGCTCCTTATTCCCTGAACTCATGTGTTTTGATTTATGTATTTCTCTATATCTTCAGATGTATTGTACTGTCAATGGTTTTCTGATTAGAGAGGTTTCGTTTCTGGATGTTGCTGAGGTTTTGTTTATAAAGCCTTTCCCCCCCCCCCGCACTACAGCCCTAGTGGGCCTAAGCCTTCCTCCATGAACTTCTCTGTTCACTTCGGTTTTTCTAGATCTTACACATTCGGTAGGACTCCTTCGGCGGGTGATCAGCTTGTCGCAAGGCCTCTACCTATACAGAAACACAGAAAAACGCACACATACAAACTAAACATCCATGCCTTGAGTGGGATTCGAGCCCACGATCCCGGTTTCCAAGCGAGCGAAGACAATACATGCCTTAGACCGCTCGGCTACCGTGACCGGCTTATAAAGCTTAGTGGGTATAATTATTTTATATTGATGAGGCCTTTGGAGTTGCTTCTAACTGTATTCATTCGTGCACACAGCTGTTGCTGCTATCTAACATTCATCTTTTCCTCACTAACCATATTACTTTAATTAGTATTGACATTCTAATTAGTAACAGCTTAAATTTTCAAAACCAGAGAAGGGCTCTAAACAAACAGTATTGTGTTTATAATGCAAACTCTGAAAGCCTGTAAACATAAAATCATGGATATAAAACATGTTCTTTCTAAGCAGCCTCTGTGTTTAAATTAACCTATAGTTTCTAGTCTTTTAGTTTCTCATGGCAGTGACTATTAAGATCACAGTCATCTGGGATGTAGAGTCAGGAAATTTGATATATGTGACCAATATTTTGAAGGAACCCGTTGCCTCTATCTTTGCAACAGGATCCTCTGATACATAGTAACTAACAATCAGCATAACACCAGATAACAGAAGACCATTATCTTAATATAGTTTGTTGAAAAATCATAAATTTTTACTTTAAAATGCTGAGAGGTGGAGGAATGTGTTTAATTTACAGAACCTATCAAACACCAAACAACTTCGCATAAGAAGTCATGCTTTAAGCGAGATATTTCATGCATACAACGGAGAGGTCTGAAGAAAACCTTGAGGAATAAGCACTGTGTGGACAAATAAATGTCCAAGATAAAATTAAGACAGAAGTGCAGTGAGGGGCAGTCAGTTCTCGAAATGGACAGTTGCTTTGGAAATCAGCAAACGTATCCAACCACAATGCTGTCATTGTAGGATATTTGTAAATACCGACACAAGTTCCCATATCAAAATAATGCTCTCGAAGTGCAATTTTTCCATTTTATTTTGTTCCCAGATAATCATGTAATTGTATCATGATTAAATGAGAAATGTGAGTTTCAGAACAGTGAATCTTATGATTATGAACTTCTGTGATGTAGTGTATCTTTGTTTGGTAGATAAATACTGATGTTTCAGAGGAACATTCTGCCTCCATCTTCATCATAACTTCTTTATTCAGCTGCAACTTTCTTACATTGGAGCTGAATTTATGTTATTCACATAAGCTTGCAGTATGACAATGGGCCAGCCCAGGAATTCTATCTGGCTCTTAGTTTTAGAAGACCACACAATAAGTTTATGTGCCCTCTGCCATAACAGTCAAAATTATGATGGTGAAGCATTTTAAGTGTTCTATTCTGTTCCCAGAATGGACACAGATTTCATCCTTAACCGAATTTGGTCAAAAAAGGTTTCATATGCCATGCATATATCCAGGGACTTTCCCTTGAACTCAGTTAGGCAACTAGATTTTTGTTTTGATAATTCAGTTGTATCATCTGCCCATATTTCACCAATTTATGAATATGCTCTTCTTCCTTACTTAATTTTTAACATAGTTCATTCAAATATGCCGCCAAAATTTCGCTATATCTGTCTAAATTCTCTCCCATCTACAGAAGAATGTTTCTTTTGGGTACTTTTTTTTTAATGCTAGTGGGGTGGGACTAAGTCCCTTGTACTGCGGCCACTTCTGGCCTATTGTACCAGCCCCAGATGATAGGTGAGGGTGATTGTGGAGCAATTGGTGGAATGAAGATTGGCAGGGGAAACCTAAGTACTCGGAGAAAACCTGCCCCAGCGCCACTTTGTCCACCACAAATCCCACTTGACCAGACCCGGGATCGAACCCGGGCCGCCATGGTGGAAATTCTTTTGGGGTAAAGTCTAGGAAGCTTCACACTGAACAACATTTTATTAACAGAAAATTATAAATATTCTAGCAGTCTCATTTCCAGTTAAGTCTTGTTTCCCATTAGGTAGGGTGGCCAGGGAGGTACAGTTGGTATAGTGACTTGCTATAGGCTAGACAGCCAAGGGTGTTGGATTTTGAGTCCCAGTAAGGGCAAGATTTTCTCCTCTCCACGTCATCCAGAGCAGCTCTGGGGCTCACCCAGCCTCCTATCCAATGGGGGCTGAAAGATTTTTCCCCGGGAGTACAGCAGCTGGGTCGTGAAGCTAACCTCTTACCTCCATCCACTGCTGAGAACAAGAATAATTGGATCTATACCTCCACTCCCCCATATGTCTTCATAGCATAGTGCTTAACTAGTTAAGCACTGGTATAACTTTATTTTTTCCTCACTAGGTGCCATGGTTAAAATGCATGGAGCTTGTCTTCATGCCTCCATACATTTAGGCACGGTGGATAACTTAGTCCATTTCGAGTACCAAGGTGCAGTATAAAACGAAAACTCTCTCTGAATACTCACTGTTTACTTACTGAGTAACCCGCCTGCACCATAGCCGTAAGTGCCATATGACGTAGCATACTGGGAATAGGGCGAGCTGTATGAGTAGTCACTGACTGGGACCACGCCCCCTCCAACTGCACTGCCACCTACTGCAAATAAAATGAAAACACATGTCAGAGAATGGCTAGGAAAACTGCCATAGCATTTAGGTGTTGACTACATTAATTTTGCTTGGTATTACACAAATAAGCCTACACAGCTTCATCTGAAACAATGTTCGATGCTCTCAATATATAAACTAAGTAACCAACTTCATGGCAAAGGAAATTCTTTGGGTAAACTCAAGAAATTCTCTACTTTTATGTAAAGCAAAGTTTCATGGCTGTTTTCATGAAATCCCACCATTCCATCTATTCCGAGTCAGCTGGTTTCAATTAACATTTTGTATAATTTTTTCCAAGATCCATTTTAATATTATTCCATCATCTAAGCTTTGGTCTCACAAGTCTTCTCTTGGTGTTTTTGGAATCCAAATATTATATTTAACTCAACTTTGTTGTGTGCAAAAGGCATCATCCATCTTAAAGCAAAAAATTAAAGCTATCCCTGTAACAGGCCATGAAGACCCCTAGGGTTGTGAGACGTTGAGGGTCCCACATTATCTAGACAACCGTCTCACAGATGGTGGTGAGGTTGTCAGCCTTATGCACCAGCCACGCTTTACTGTCCAGGAAAATTATTTAATTAATTCCTGGTACTCATTTCTATTAGAGGCTGAGTCGACACCAGGGCCATAGTGCAGCCGGAAGGATTAGGTCAATTGAAAAAAATTCAACGACTTCATCGGGACTTGAACCTGTAACCTTCCGGCTTGTAGCATAGCTCCTCAACCAACTATGCTACCGCATGCCCCCATCATCCATCCTATCCTTCCTGATTTAATATTAGATGAACTATAAAAATTATGAAGTTTCTCACTATTTCTTTATGCCCAGTCAAACGCCTTGAAGTTCAAATATATTCCTCAACTATTTTTTCTTAATTTTTGCCTATGCATTGTCACCTATTGTACTAATGATGACTGATGACGATGATAGAAAAATCGTGGAGACTACAAAGGGGGAGGTAAGAACATTTTAGCAGAAATATCTTTAAGAACCATCAAAATGCAGGGAACAAAACATGAGGATAAGCTTAAGATGGCTCTAAGAAAGACAAAACTTAGCATTAATTTGAGGAATCTGTCAATTTATAATCAGACAATACCAAAACTGCATACTTATGTTCTGAATGGAACCATTACAAGACAAGACCTGAGTTAAGTCCTTTCATTTTTCAGAATGAGGATACTGATATTTTTTTTTCAATTTCAGGTTGAGGGAGATGGTGCTGGTATATAAACAGAGAAAAACTCAAGTTAATGAGACACAATAACATCAACTGTACTTTTATTCTTTCACCTCAATAGCTTCTATTAGAATAAACATTTTACTAGTAAAAGACCTTCTTTGCACCAACAACGAACATGTTTCTGAATGAGGAAATGTGGAAACATAATCCCTACACGTGTGAAGCCCTCTGCATCATCACCACAAGTACCAAGGTTATGGTTTGAGAACAGTGTCTTCGTAGCAAGAACAAGATCTCAAGACTGCATACTGTTTCTAATTATTACATTATTATGTAGGTTTTATATGAGTAAAGTAGGGCCTCCAGGATAGTCAATACATTTTGATGTATGGGTACAGTAATGGATAATCATCATCATCATCAAGGCTTAGACTTGTTATCTTTGTAGTATGCATCCTGTTGTGTCTCTTATATAAAATATATAATGTATATAATGAGGGCAGTCTACACAATATTTCAGAAAAACAAAAGAGATACTACAGTATCAACATTTGTTTACTGCCTGTTGCGTCAACAGTCAGTAAACAGATGTTGATACAGTAGTATCTCTTTATTTCTTCTGAAATAATGTTGTGTACACAAACTCAATGGTTTTAGTCTGCAAGCAAACTATACCGCCGCTTGTCGGCGAAGTTAGTGCCAACTTTTGTGGATAGAGGGTGTCACGTGGTCAGCGCAATGGATCCCCACAGCTTTTAATCTCGGTTTTCTTGACCGGAGCTGCTATTTCTTTGAAATAGCTCCTCAATTATCCTCATGAAGCTGAGTGGACCCCATTTCAGACCCAATACTTCTTAGAAAATCTGGTAGCGCCGGGAATCGAACCCGGGACCTCTGAATCTGTGGCCAGGAACTCTAACCACTAGACCACAGAGGTGGTCCATTGTTGTGTGTATATATATATATATTAGACTTGTTATTCTGTTCAGACTCACTCCAGCACAGACATTCCAGAACTGTTTCTTTTCCCCGTTTTCATCAGTCTTACCCCATCCTCATATTCCCCCTTAAGCATCTTTGAAAATTGATGTTTCTTCATATGTTCCACATGCTCATGTCATTTTCTTTCGCAGTGGTTAATTCACTGAACAAATATGCAGATGGTTAGATATATGGATGTTTGATTAACTGGCTTGGTCAGTTGTTTGATTGTTGGTTAACTGGAAGGGCCTGGGAATGATGGTTTGTTATCAGATTCAGTTCAGCTGTATGTCAAGTCTGTTTTGGTGCCAATTACTTACATTTTTTATGTTAATTAACAGAATGATGGTGTAGTTTGGTGCATCAATAAAGTATCAAATTAGCGTGAGGGAAAAGAATTTCCAACCCAAATGTATTTGTTTCTCTTTCAAAATACCCTGTCTCCAAAGAAACTAAAAGCCTGTTATGCCTAGATTTGTTTATCCTTCCAAAACCTTACTTACTTATAGATAGTATAGGGTTCTGACGATGGTGTATAACACACAGATATATCTGTGTGTTGCTTACTTACTGAATTGAGCCCTTCTTGAGGAGCTGCCAATTCTGCAGCTACTCAAGAATTTCTCAGCATTTTATGGAACCCGAAGGTTCATTACTGTGTTCACAAGAGCCATCCACTGGTCCCTATCCTGAGCCAGATCTATCCAATCCATACCATCCCATCTCTTTAAGATCCATTCTAATATTGTCTACCCACCTATGCCTTGGTCTTCCCTGTGGCCTCTTTCCTTCTGGCTTTCCCACAACATCCTATACACATTCTTCTTCTCCCCCATTCGTGCTACACAACCTGCCCACCTCATCCTCCTTTACTTGATCATTCTAATTACACTTGGAGAAGAGGACATGTTATGAAGCTCCTCATTAGGAAGTTTTTTAATGAACTAAAATAATTGTTGTTCATTTTGCCATGTTTTCCGAGATATCGAATTCTGAGTTAATCAAGTTTGTCTCCTTTTGGGGAGACACACACTTTAGTGACAAATATAGCACCAGGAATGTTGCCATTTTACATCCTACACTACAGTTCGCCCAAACAAAGGTATAGTTTTTCCCCCCAAGATATATTATACACAGTGTCACGTAACTTTGAACAAGGCCCCGCATTCCTAGTCAAATCCCGCGCATAGCTTGTGGTGGGAGGAGTTTCCTAACACTCGTTCTTCCACTGGCCGCCTGTCACTTCTTAGACCCTCCACCCCCTTGTCTGAATTTTTTCTTCGGCGCATTCAAGGTTACTCTTGGCCTTGTTCGAAGTTACGTGACACTTGCTATACTAAACAAAATTTTTGGTTCTTCTAGTTTCGCTTTTACCTCTCGCGTTCGCTGGCGGCCATGTTAATACCATTTATTAACGGTTCGAAATAAAAAAGAGACCTCCAGTAACAAGAAGTCCATACCAGTTTTCATTCTGAATCCATCAATTGATTACGAAGTTACTAGAGGACACAAGCCCATGGAATGTTGACACTGTACACTATATTTCCTTGTAAAATAAAAACATAACATGAAAATCTAAGTTGTCCTGGTCTGTAATCCTTTCTGAATACGATGCATTTTTATACACAAAGACTGTTTGTAGTTAAAGGCATGAAAGACTATCAGATTTCAAATAAATCAAATTCAGTTTATGTAACAGACCAAAGCGGAACTTCCTCCTTGGCAACGAGGACTAGTGGACTGAGACTTGCCTGTAGAGTAGTGCGCGAAGCCGGGCAGCATGGTCGAATACGGCGAAGCAGCGGCCGTGGTAGCCGAGTTGTTGGCAGGCTGGAGTACGGTGAGCGAACCAGGATCGGGCGAGCTATTGCCACCCTGTGGCGCTGCTGGCGGGGCAGGATCGGCGGGGAGGGACAAGGGGAGCCCTGGGGACGACCCAGCAGCGGCAGCAGCGTCCGTGCTCGTGTTAACACCGTTATAAGTGCTGCTCTCTGGTGGACGGCACAACAAACACACACTTGCTACTCGCTACGGACACTAAACATGCTGCTTACATGCGAAATCCAATTTCATGCACTTTGTATAATATACTTACTACTCCTTCTGCCATGTTGAATCATTTTTCATCATTAGCGTCTTTTCTAATATATATTTTCTCCATTTTTGAACTCCAAACTCATAGTATTTACATGTTATATTTAGAATTTGAAGAAAGTTCGATTCCTTACATAGATGGCAGCGTTAGTCTTGCCACATATTCTGCCAGTTTTAGAACTACAAGAGTAGTAAAATTATTACGTGAACATTCTTATTTTTTGAAGCTGCTCAATTGTGCCTGATACGTTTGAAACCAAAATTGTCATTCGTGTCCGACGTTGTATCGGTTTTTAGCAATAACAGAAATATGTGCCCGAAATTCACAAATATGAGCACAGATGGGGGAGTAAACAAAATAATTAACTGATTGTTATGACACAAATGAGCCCAATATACTATTCCTTGTTATTTCCACTCGTGAAATACAAGCTGCACATTCCATTCACTGCTGCGAAATCCATTAATAGTGATTCCGAGACTAGGAAGAGATTTAAAAATGTGTCAACAGATACAATAATACTGATCGAATTCTTCTGTCAGCTTGGGTAAATGCAACCACTGGAGTTAAGAAGATTTTACGAAATCCAGTTTATTTTGTTATCAGACGCTGCTTAAGCAGTTATTAGCAATGTGGAATTAATTCACAGACTTATCCATACACAACAACGTAAAGTAATCTCGTTTAGTCTGAAATCTATAGGAATAAAATCCTTACCTCCTCAACTGGGAAGTTTGCTACGAAATTTCCAGTCCCATTGAAAGTGGTAGTCAGAACTGAAGTTAATTATTTACCTTAGCTCTATTTTAACATATTTACATATTAAACAGCTATGTGCTTCTCACGAGAGTACTTAGAAAGTAAACTGGTAACACTGCCGATATAATTATAATATAACGGAGGCAGTAAAGCATCATGACCGAAAATTGTGTGTATAGGGAAACAGAATTTGAAAATATTGCACCAGTCAAGCAACAGCTGTACATTGTCTAGTAAATACTTTGCAGATTATATTCCCCATTGTTGGTTCGCAGACCGCGTTTCTGTTTCTGCTGAGGCAATTCTTATAAAGATTTCTGAGAATTTCAACTACGACTTAACAAATCTGAAATCTTCGTTTCAGGAAATGACATAACTTGAGCAGAAAAATGAACGTTTACAGTGTCCATTTTGTTGCACCCTAAAACATATTATTTTTTTTTTCAAATTTATTAAAACAAAGACAGATCTTTAAAAAACCTGCATATATAACATGAATTACTATCTCAATATTGATCTTTCGTTCAGATTATGTGTCTATTAACAACTCAGATACATAAAACACGTTTTGTCTGGCAAAAAACTAGGCATACGAGTTTCAGTTGCTTACTTCATTTAATTTTGTCTATTGTCATGGGTATCCTTCAATCACAACCTGTTTACAAACAGGTGAACCTACATGGGGTTCTCTGTTTTGTATACAGTATAAGGGCGATCTGAGTACAAATTCAGAATCTGTGCACAATGCAAAACCTCGGTAAAACTTCTGTGATATTGTAGAGACATGGACTAACCTCTTGTGAGAATTAGGTGCTGTTTAGTGGTTAAATTAACCTAAAATAAACTTAAGTTAAAATCTAAGAAACTCTTACCATGTAAAAATTAATGATATAACGTTTCAGTAACAATATTATAGCTTTGTAATATCTTATAAACATTATAAAAAAATTAAATTACAACTTAACAGATGTACAGTCCCGAGGTTTGCTCTAGAAATCACTTCATTTCCGGATATAATTCGTAATTTGAAAGGTTTCTAACAATTTAACGTCTCTTCTGTGCGTCTGCGTGTACATATCTATGACAAATGTCACCATATCATGTATATACCGACCCCATGTTGGGCGTCGTTAGTGTGCAGACCAGAGAAAGAACTGTTTTTTGTTAATTTATTGCTGAAACTTCCGGACTGGACGTAGATATATTGGCCCCTTAAATTAATAGTGCCTCTAATATAGAAGCCTGAACTTTGACGTGAAAGTTCAAATTAAGAATAAAACCTCCACATTAATGAAAATAATGTATAATGTGAATTATTGCTAAGTTATTATAATCAATATACTGTATATGTGTGTCATTCCCAAATTTATATAAGAGAAAAGTTGAACTATGTTTTATACTTCCTGAAACACAACGAAATATAAGTCACTCTCTATTATTTTAATAACTTGTTTTCTCAATGGATTAGACTACATTAAATGTTTCCTTAAATATGGCCCATTTAATAACCTTCTTAATTCTTTTTCTTAATGCATCAAGTTTTCACTATACCCTTATAACGATCATTTTTCCCCATGAGTTGGATTTCGTAGTAAACTAAATTAACAAGCAAACAGGCACTGGTGGAAGAAATGTATACTTCGAACTGAAGAATTTGTAACGTTTCTGATGTTACTGATATATAAAAATTCGTGTTGTTACTATTAAGGCAAAAATTTGAAGCAAAATATAAACTTAAATGAAATAAAAATCTACAGTTCGAAGCAAACTTCCCCACAGAGGCACATCTAGACAGACTTTGCAGCTGTCAGATGTCGAGGAGACTAAGGCTATTATTGTACGCTATTCTGAAGTGCTCGGGCATAGTTAACTGAGGATTCCGTAAAATAATGAACTTCAAATTTGAATTGTTGAATGAACTTCAATTAAAATACGTATGATTGGGCCATAGAAAATTCGGCATGCGACTTTGTATCTACAATTAAAAAATAAATAAATTGTTTGGAATAGTTTTCGGACAGGAATCTGCAACTTCTGGCGCTCAGAATACACAGAATCGATGCTCAAATAAGAACGCCGAGTAACTGTGCAAATTATATTCACGACGTACTAGGTACATTCGAAACCCAAACATAAGTTCCAGAATTTGTCTTCAGTAGTGACTGTCCTGATTTGATTATTATTAATATTTATTTTAAGAGCCACGATAGATCAGTCGGTATAGCGACTGGCTACAGGCTGGACGACTGAGGGCTCGGAGTTCGAGCACCCTCCTATCCAAAGGGTACAGGGGACTCTTTCTCGAGGGAAAAGCGACGGGAGCTTGAAGCTGACCACTCTCCTCTAGCTAGTGCCGAGGTCACTCCCCCATATACCTTCATAGTGTAGTGTTTAATTAGTTAAGCACAGGGACAACTTTACATTTTTTTATTATAATTTATTTTCGTGACGACAGTGAGCCAGAAATAAATGGAATATATCAATTACGGCAGGAGAGAAAAACGTTAAAAAGGACATGATTAGAAACATTTTATCTGTTTGAAATTGCCTCTTTTAAAGGTCGTATGTGATAACATGCTTAACGTGTATGACTATAAATATTTAACGCAACAATGTACAGCGATGAGTACGCATAACTATCTGAATACATTTTCAAAATGTTAAAAAGCATTTCATAAGCAAATTAAAGCAATGCTAAGAGCCAATAACGAACTAATTCTTGGCCTATTTTCTTTCAATGAATGGCACTAACATGTTACCAAATGTACACGCAAAAATCAATATTTTTAAAAGCTCATTTAACTTAATTATATAAATATTTTCTTTTATTGCTAGTGGGGTGGGACTAAGTCCCTTGTACTGCGACCACTTCTGGCCTATTGTACCAGCCCCAGATGATAGGTGAGGGTGATTGTGGAGCAATTGGTGGAATGAAGATTGGCAGGGGAACCGAAATACTTGGAGAAAACCTGCCCCAGCCCCACTTTGTCCACCACAAATCCCACTTGACCAAACCCGAGCTGCCGCGGTGGGAAGCCAGCGACTAACCGCTTGAGCTATGGCGCGGCCTATATAAATCTTAATATATCTGAGTTATATTACACGCTGTACACTGTCGCGATTTTACTCGAGGAACACAAAATTTTGCTTGTCCTCAGATGATTGTATGTTATTGTAGTGACATATTTTTATCCTGTTATTAATAGATTCCGTGATTTATCATCGAACCATCTCAATATTAGATACGTATGAAAAGAATTGCATACAACTTCTCCAGAAATGAGTTACCCGTTAAGGGCATAAAACCGATAAAATATATCATTTTACGTGTAAAAGTAAAGGTAAAGCTATCCCTGTAACAGGCCGTGGAGGCCCATATGGTTGTGAGACGTCGAGGTTCCCACATTTTCTACACAATTTGCTCACAGATGATGATGAGGTTGTCAGCCTTACGCGCCGGCCGCCCTTTACCCCAAAGAATATTCCTGGTACTCATTTCTGTTAGAGGCTGAGTCGACCTCAGGCCCATAGTGCGGTTGGAAAGATTAGGTAAATTGAAAAAATCCACCTAATCGGGATTCGATCCCAAGACCTTCAGGCTTGTAGCATAGTGCCTCAACCAATTACGCTACGGCGTGCCCCAACACTCTTAAGTAAGGAATTATTTAATTGATGTTGCTTCTAGAGCAGGCGAATTGACATTCAAGCTTACTGAAGCTACAAGTAAAAGAAAATGTAACAAGTGAACGTAAAATACCCTACAGCACTATTAAATGTAAGTAGATTCTAAAGGGCTCTGACGATGGTGAATGACACACAGAATTACTGGGGGTTTAGACTTTTTCCTGGTCCAGAATTTTAGGTAATAAGAGGACACGACGTTTCGGAAACTGGATCTGTTTCCGTCTTCAGGTGAGAAAGGGGTCCAACTGAGTAGGTGTCTTCCTTTCTCAACTGAAGACGGAAACAGATCCAGTTTCCGAAACGTCGTGTCCTATATTAAAAAGTTCAAAACACCACTAATTCTGTGGACTATTACATGTAATTTATATAGTCTTAGTTTTACTTTATTACAGGGGAATTAATGAAGAATTCAAACATGCATGTTATGTTAATGTTGCCCACATAAATAGGCCACACAAAATTACGTACAGTGGCAGACATGTATGCAGTACACAGCGTATATTCTATGCAAATCCAGGAGAAGGAATCAGGGATTTTGAGCATTTGCATGCAACAGACAAATAGCGGAGACACAGGCATGCGGGCAACCGACCCTTTTCAGAGAGCAGTGGGCTGACGGGGTGGTTTGGAGGGTAGATGAAGGATGCTAACTCATTTCCAACGGTGGAATGGAACCGACCACATATTGACCGCACACCGGCCCACGAATAAATGGATTAGTCCCCTCTCTCCCGTGTATAATGAACTGGTGCGACTGGCGTTGGTATTTTTCCTGATATAAGCGCCGTTTTTAAACGTATATTTTTAAATTTGAATGGATCAGTCTTTCCCGCCTTCTGTATATACAGACTTTATAGAAAGGGCCTGTTGATCCAATATAGAAGTGGAACTCTCCGTTTTGTGGCCAGGAAATTTTTCCAAAATGTGGGCCCACATCTCTCCTAATCATTAGAATAAAACTGTAAAATCTGGGTTTCTTTGAGACGAAATTCAGGACAGAAAGTAAAAAAAAAAAAAATCCTTCGATCGAAACGCAATACTTCTGATTAAATGTTATTGATTTTAGCACCTTAGCCCTATTGATCGTAAAGTCTTTCGGGCCGCAATACATTTTCTGAAATTTCATACATACAAATATATTGATTATTATGTATTTTATGGCAGTAATATAAAGTGGAAGGAGTAACAGGGCACATAAGTATACATATGTCTCAAGTGTGAGGTATTTTGAAACAGGAAGCAGGACTTGAACCGCTGAAAATTTTGAAATGCTTGCAAAAATTTATATTACGTACCTGTACACGGTTTAGAAATGATGGCCGAATATTAGTTATCAATATTTTGATGTGGTCATTGCCTCGCTGGACAACTGCCCTAGTTCCTACTTCCCGAATATATTTCAAGTGTTACAGAAGGAGCAACTTGTTTCAGGTTACGTGATGCATCATCCCCGGGTTTCATAAAAATTTATTTTTCTTAAATTCGCTTAGTGTGGGGTGGAGTCCAACTGGGTCCACTCCGCACGGCGGCCACTGATTGGCATATTGTACCTGCCCCGGTTGATTATGATAGAGAATTTGGTGGAATGAAGATTGGCAGGGGAAACCGAAGTACTCGGAGAAAACCCGCTCCAGTGCCACTTTGTCCACCACAAATCCCACTTGACTAGACCCCGGGATCGAACCCAGGCCGCTGCGGTGGGAAGCAAGCGATTAACCGCTTGAGCTATGGCTCGGCCTCCCAGGTTTCATAAGGAAGATACATTTTTCGTAGAGACAAGTAGAATTTTCTGACCTCCTTTAAATTTTAGCCTATTCGAGAATATTTAGATGACTTATGGAGGTTGATTAATATTATTAAAAAGATGGTGTCTGAATTTTTACCACATCTCTGCCATTCTGGAGGGGCTGGGATCTTGTCTCTTCGCCATCAAGTTCAGACCTGTCTCCTATCCAATGGGTACATGAGATTTCTGTCGGGGTAATGCAACCGGAAGACGATATGACCGTCAGCCTGTATTTATACCTAGTTAAGATTGTATGGAAATTTTGCCTCCGCATTATTTTTACGCCTTTATGAATTGGCACTTAGGCAGGCCTGCAGGACAGACCTTTATCCTATACTTTTGTTAATAATTTTCAGGCTGCTCAATGACTTCCAGATTACTTGAACCACTACAGAAATATAATTAAGTTACTGAAACAATTTAAAAAGTTTGTAAATTTATTGAACTAATATAAAACCCACTACTGAAACCTGTTAAACCCCAAGAAAATTTCAAGTAATGCTGATGGACCAATATAGGAACCGTTTATGCTAGATAGGCCTGTGAACACCTTACAAGTGTCTTTCCGAAAATGAAAATTCCAAATTTGCCACAAGGATTTACATTTTGGCACACCGGAAGGTACTAAAATTTGACTCAAAAATATTGTGGATCCATTTAAAATTCTTGATATGCCAATTTGTAACATAATTGAGCTAACCGTATTTGAACAACAGTGGCTTAAAGAACGAGTTGATGATTCAAGAGTCCAGTACGGCCCTGAGATTTGTCGTCAATTGAAAGTGTAACAGATACTGGTCGAAAGGGACGAATATAGATAAAGGTCTCTTTTTTGGAGCCTCAATGAATCATTACATGAACAAACAAAAAACTGTCCTGATGCAGAATCAACAAACAATTGCGAAAGAAGAGGTTATTTACGCGAATCTTTACAAAGCCAATAACAAAAATATATTCATTATAAGGTACCAAGTTTATAAAATCTAATTTCTTTCAACATGAAATTTATTTCCTTCCTATATAGCCGTATTATGTTCAAACAGCGTCGCATTTCAAGTTTTTAAGTTGTGGTCTATAAGAATTCTACCCACCCTCGGTCCCAGCAGTGTGCCACCCAAGGTAGTTTTCAAACGCTCGAATTACAGAAATTCAAATTTATGTATCGGGTTACAGTGCAATATTCTACAGGATGGAACTACAATACAGGGAGTTTATAAAAGAGAATTACAATATTTCGAATCGTGGGCCGACTAACTAATGGTTACGCGAAAAACTTACGAACATTTTCTCTGTCCCCAATTTACGACATCGTACCCGGCCTTTAGGATAACACGCTGTACTACCGACAGATGGATTCCTCCAACACTTAAGCTAAGAACGGTTAGAGAGGGAAACGTTTTCACTATAACACATTTCTTGAAAAATACTAACCTAAAAATAATTAGTAATAAACTTAACAGAGAAAACTGGTTTATTCAGGATTCAGGTTTCATGACTATTCAATAGACCTAATGTAGCATAATTTATCCGTAGCAGTAAACATAACCTCACATATCACTCATTCTGAACTTACCTTGCTGGTAGGCTGCCATGGTGGGGTCCAATTTCATTTCTTGAAGGGTGATTGGCGCCAAGGGCGTGAGGGTACCGGCCCCCGCTGCTATGCGCGGAAAATAACAAAACAACACAAACAAATGAATGGCTCCCCCAAAATAAAACAGAACTAATATTGTTAAAAAAAAAGTTAATCAAAAGATAATATAAAAACATAAAATATTATTACCAACTTCATTCGTAGATGTAGAAAAAAAGGGGGGGGGGAATTACGGTCCTTAAAATATATAGACTAGTGTAATGACTCCATTAGTCACTCAGGTGCACACAAGCGTTGCTTAGTATGACAAACTGTACCTAGCAAAACAAAATACACACTCCGTGGCTTGTAGTCTGCAAGCGAACTACACCGACCGAACGACCGCCGCTTGTTAGCAAAGATAGTGCCCACTTTAACGGATAGAGGGTGTAGCGTGGTCAGCGCAACGGATCCCCAAGGTCGTTAATGTCAGTTTTCTAGACCGGAATCACTATTTCCTTGAAGTAGCTCCTCAATTATCTTCATGAGCCTGAGTGGACCCCGTTACAGANAAATAATAACAAAGGAAAAAAGAAAAAAAAAAAGGGGGGGGGGAATTACGGTCCTTAAAATATATAGACTAGTGTAATGACTCCATTAGTCACTCAGGTGCACACAAGCGTTGCTTAGTATGACAAACTGTACCTAGCAAAACAAAATACACACTCCGTGGCTTGTAGTCTGCAAGCGAACTACACCGACCGAACGACCGCCGCTTGTTAGCAAAGATAGTGCCCACTTTAACGGATAGAGGGTGTAGCGTGGTCAGCGCAACGGATCCCCAAGGTCGTTAATGTCAGTTTTCTAGACCGGAATCACTATTTCCTTGAAGTAGCTCCTCAATTATCTTCATGAGCCTGAGTGGACCCCGTTACAGATTCAATACTTCTCAAAAAATCTGGTAGCGCCGGGAATCGAACCAGGGACCTCTGGGTCTGTAGTCAGGAACTCTGACCACTAGAAAACAGAGGCATGAGTGCAGAAAAATGGCTTATCTCGTCAAGAGATCGATTTGGACCTATTCGTTAAACTGTACATAAGCCTAGTTACCTACAACGCATCAAGAACTATGTATAAATGAACAAAGAAGTTTAAAAGGCCGCCGTTTACTTAACAACATTTCGGAGAAACACAATGAATCGATCCTTAGGGTCGACTCTGACGATAGAGGCAGCACGTTCTTCTGAAATGACGTTACGTAACTACAAAACTACATTCCAGAAGGCTACGACCTTAACAGCGACAGAACTTCAAATCTCTTAATTAATATTTTAACGTGATAAAAGAATTTGCGGCTATTCTGAATGAAGAGTTTGATGTACTGAGAACTTACAATAATGTTCAGATTTATAGAAGTGAAAATGTTCAGCTCCCATGTTTGTAAGATGGCTCGAACACTGCTGAATTTATACTATTATAATATAATGTCTGGAACGGGGTCCACTCAGCCTCGTGAGGATAACTGAGGATCTATTTCAAGGAAATAGGGGCTCCGGTCTAGAAAACCGAGATTAACGGCCGTGGGGATCCGTTGCGCTGATCACGCAACACTCTCTATCCGCTAAAGTTAACACTAACTTCGACAAGCGGCGGTCGCTCGATCGGTATAGTTCGCTTATGAACTAAAACCACGGAGTTTGTTTTAATATAATGTGCAGGATTCTAAAATTGTGGATGCTACCTGAATTGTGAGATTATGTACTTTGGAGCAAATACAGAAGAAGTAAATGCTTTAAACAAAATTACTGGCGTAAAAATGTTAATTCCTTATTAAAAAATTAAAAATCAAGGAAAATATAATCATATTTGGAAGTCCTTAGTAAATAATAAATAAACAAATGTAATATTGATTTCGAAACAAAAGATTTGATAGCCCTAAAGTAACTGTATTAAGGGAGAAGAAGTGTAGTGGACAAAATATGAAAAAAATTATCCCAATTTACTCTAGAAGTCTAGATGAAAGAAATTAAGGAGTTTCGTCTAACAGAGAAGGAAATAAAAGGGATGAGAAGGGACTGCTAGCAAGACAAGCTGAAAGACCAGCACCAAAATGCAGACGCCACCACCAAGGTAAGTTTGTTACACTACATTCATACATCATACATAAAACATATAACCTGATCAGAATTTGTACACAGACCGAGGAGCTAGAAGAGTGACCACGTCAACAAGAAGACATGAATCCCCATTCACAGCTACTATGGGGAGACACTTGTACATCTTATCTTGTCATGTGTGAATTAAGCTCCTAATGCAATAAATCAGTAATGATACTATCTTCATATTAAAGATATCCAGACGTATCCTGTGACAGGCTCTTTTAAGGTCTGCTGAGACTTGGCACTTTAAGATAAAAAATCAAACCTGTGACAGTTGCAGTAGCTCTCGAGTCCAGTTTATTATTCAGAGGAAATTTGGGACAAATAAATGATTCATGTAGGGTTTAAAATTAAAAGGAAAATACGTATATACGTAATCCTCTCCTTAAATTCGTGGAAATGTGAAACGAACTACCTCACAAAATATATTATTTATTTTTCACAGTCTATTAAAATGATTTCAATAATTACAATGATTACATCTTTAGCTTCTATTCGCATAATGAATGAAGACTAGAACAGGAAACAGTGGGTGATTATAAGCAATTCCATTGTTCACCACCTTCTTTGAAAAGCTGACAGCTGCTTAGCTGATTAGAAGGTTCGTACTTTTTGGAAACAAGAAAGTTCACTGTCGTGTCACTTAAGGATATATTGGACCCTATGCAGAGTCAGTTGAAACAAATCATCTTCATATCTTATTTATGTGCAACATGTTTCAATATTGTCGCGTGTTGGGCGTATATCGCGACAAATAACTTCACGCCGTATTTGATGTAGCGAATTTTATTTCACATTCGCACTTAAAATCACCCAAATTACAGATTCACAATTACTGCTATCTGCAGTATCACAAATACTACACTCCAAATGCCAGAATACAACTGACTGGTTGCTGGCTAACTCGAAACTAACTCGGAGGTAGCTGGAGGACTCCTTTGAATAGCCTTCGCTGCTCCTCATGTAGCCTCGATCGGACAATACAGAAAACGGCCACGTAATAGGCACCCTTGTTGCCTGGCGCTATGTTGCTAGCAACGCTAGCGGTAGTAACCGCTGTTACTACCGTCGTCTCTCGCAATCCTGGTTACCCGCGCTGCCTAGCAACCCGCGGTACAGTTGGTGACGTCATCGCTGTTGACTCGCGTTGCCTAGCGACCAGGATCCTATGACTCGGCTAACTTCGGCTCCCTTCGGCTTCGCTCGGTGCATCACGGCTGGCGGGGGGGGGGCGTCATCCATAGCTCAACATGTCATAATATTTTCCCCACACCTTTGCTAAGATCTCAAGCCTTGTCACGTTTCCCAACTAAAATTTTATAGGCATTTTTCATGTTCCTTTGTATGTGCTACATGTCTCATTCATTTCAGAATTTCTTGGCTTAACCTAATAATAATATTAAGCGGAATATATACATCATGAAGTTCCTCACTTTGTAATTTTCTCCATATCATATCCTTTCTCTGAAGTTCGGTTACTTCTTAGCATATCAATATAAAACAGTGGGGAAGATCACATTTTTGAATAGTTCATAATATTTTTAAATATAATTATATTACGGCTTGGTGATTCCTTAGAAACAACTGACACGAAGAGCCTCCATTGGTGTTGCCAACACTAGTACAGGTTTGTATCAATTTCATGAGAGATCGTGCCATAAATTTATGTTCATGACGTATTACGAATATGCAACTTTTGTTTGAACCGTTTTCGATTCAGTGTATAAAGTGTAAACTTGTGTCTTCTTTGAAATTTCTATGGATACACTTGAATCGAAGTCAAATACCCTTGAAGATATACAGAATGGATGTACCAAACTAAATTCTATTAAATGAATCCAGTGATTTGAAAGAAGATACGTACAGAGAAGTTGACATGATGTCCTTATAGGTTATTCTTCTTCTGTTTCGTTTACAAGTACGAAGAACAAGGATAGAAGTAAACATTTATAATAATTACATTAAAAACCAAAAATTTCTGGCAATCCATTCAGTAGATTGTACATTCTTTACGGTAAATTAAAAGAGTTCAACAATACATAACTAGACATGAGTTATGGAACTTAATGTTCACTTACCTAGCGATGTTCCAATGGGCGGGGTGTAAACTGGAGTGCTCTGCGCTTGCGTCATCGTGCTGATACTCTCATACAGGTCGGAAGTAGTGGTGACCGTCGGAAAACCTGTCTGAGCATCGTAATACGGAGAACCGCCGTTAGCGGCGCCACTACCGAGCTCGGAAAGCAACTTGTGTTCATCCTTTATGCTCCATTTACTCGACCACAACTGAGAAAAAGAAGAAGAATAGAGGAAAAATGCATACGAGTGAAGTAGATTAGATTTCACTGTCTTCCCTTGCAAATGACTCAGCGAATTATATGAAACAACAATAAGTCATATGACCCAACAAAAAATTGCATGTGTGGTGTACGTCACATATGCTTATTATTCTGTGATCGGTTATTTTATGCTATGCTTATATGTCGTAGAGGTCGCGCCATAGCTCAAGCGGGATTTATGGTGGACAAAGTTGCGCTGGGGTACGTTTTCTCAGGGTATTTCGGTTTCCCCTGCCAATCTTCATTCCACCAAAATTCTCCATCATCATAATCACTCAGGGCAGGCTACAATAGGCCAATCAGTCACCGCCTTGCCGAGTGGACCCAGCTGGACTCCACCCCCCACTATGAAATTTGAAAAAAATATATATGGCGTAAAATGTGGTCTATTGGTCAGAGTTCCTGGCTACAGATCCAGATGTCCCGAGTTAGATTCCCGGCGCTACCAGATTTTCTGAGAAGTAGTGGGTCTGGAACAGGGTCCGCTCAGCCTCGTGAGGATAATTATGGAAGTATTTTAAAGAAATAGCGGCTCCGGTCTAGAAAACCGATGATAACGGCCGTGGGGATCCGTTGCGCTGACCACGCTACACCCTCTATCCGCCAAATTTGGCACTAACTTCGCCGACAAGCGGCGGTCGATCGGCCGGTATAGTTCGCTTGAGGACTCAAGTCACGGAGTATATGGCGTAGAATGAGATAAGATGGAGTTGTGGGTAATGACCCGGAAGGAATAAAGCTAAATTCCCTGCCGCACAGGTGGAACTTTATATTTGCTTTCAAGAACGACAGATATATTTAGAAATGGTCGCTTGTCAAAGTATCTCTCGATACTCTCGACAGTCTGTAGTTCAGAAATATACATGTGTCAGTCGCACATACTGACTGAACCTAGACTGCATTCTACAGTCTCCAGATATACAAATATATTTTTGGTAAATAATTCTGGAACGATATTGTAAATTGTGATTGACGATAACTGAGTATTAAGACACGCGTCACATATAGTCTGGGGCCCCATTCTTTATAATCACATGCAGACATATAGATCTTCAATTCTTTCTTTCTCGTAGACTATTCTGTTAAACGACCGCAACTCTCAAATGGACAATACTATTATTGTCCACCAGAGCGCATGTGAAAACACCGTGCCCTTTAGTCCGCAAGCGAACTATACCGACCGAGCGACCGCCGCTTGTCGATGAAGTTAGTACCAACTTTAGCGGATAGAGGGTGTCGAGTGGTCAGCGCATCGGATCCCCACGGCCGTTAATCTCGGTTTTCAAGACCGGAGCCGCTATTTCCAGAGAGCTTTTGGTGCGACATATTCCATGTGTGAGAATATTTTCCTGGTGCCAAACGAATTTCCTCGCGCACAGCAAGTTTACTTAAATTTAGCGTTACTCACGTTTGAATAAAGTTGATCTCCGTTGTACTGTGTTCTCTGCCTCTTGATTTCGTCTTCCGGATGCCCGTTGAGATCTCTGTTCTCATCTGGAATAGAAATGAAGAATTTTAAAACTCCAGACTTCCAGTAAAATAATTGTATTTCATCTCAATTATATTAGGCTAATAGCTGGTGCATGGTACAGGCTCGTAAGTTCAGAAGATAAGGTAGCGCCAATACATGAGTACCGGCAAGGGAGAAGCTAGGAATCTTCCGCTCCTCTAAATCTTTTCGGAAAAAAATCGAAAATTAAAATGAATATACCAGTTATTAATACAAGAAAGAAGGCATTTCCAATATTGTGGCATGTAGACCCTCTGACAGGCAACGACAACGAAATAAGCAGCTATACAATGGCCGTTACTCTGCAGCAGACCGTAAACAGTGAGGACACATCCAAACACGGATCCCATTGCTTGGGAAGTCAAGTCCATGGGTCCTATGTCACCAAGAAAAGAAAACGAGAGAAATGAAACTAAAAGAGACAACATAAAAGAGACGCAGAAACATTAACCAAAGTTTCCTAGTGGGTTTTAAGTTTTATGCCCATATTGTTCCACTCTGACTCCGTTTCAAGGATAATGACGCTCCCCCCTCCCCAATTGGCGTCTTGGAGAAAGTCGCAGGAGGGAAAACAAAGAAGTATCGACTAGAATCATCGTGCCAACTCCACGTTAAGCTGGTGTACTTCCGGTGCGACGCCAGCGCCACTGCGGTCAAGTAACGGAACCACGGATAGAAAAAAGGAGAAAGAACTTAAAATGTTTCCTTTTTGTTTTCCTCCCCTTATCACCCATTCTCCCAGATATGACGGGCAAAAAGCTCTCCTCAATTTTTCTGTATTGTTTTTATCTTTTTCTGGAGGAAGAATTCCAGTGATGTCTTCTAAAATACCGCTGGAATATAATATATTTGAAGTACAATTTCCACAAAAGCTTACGTCTGTACCGGAACTATGGGTAAGCACCTCAAGGAAAGAACAGTTTGTGAACATCTTGCTGTAACCATTGTAGTTATTTTATGTCCAGATTGAAAGGCTAATCTAGAGCAATTATTAAAGAGTTTGCGAGGTGGTACAGTGAGGCGTACATTCGTGGCAGATAATTCCGGTGATGACGTTTCAGTTTCTTTGTTTGTATGGGTGGCAAATTTTCTTGAAAACTTTCAATATCAACGCCAAAAATATTGAAGAGGTTTTGCACATATTTTCATATACTAAGCAAGCTATTCACCACTGGGAAGGACGAGGCGTAGGTGGGTGGACAATATTAAAATGGATCTTAGAGATATAGGATAGGATGGGAAGGATTGGATTGATCTGGCGCATGATATGGACCAGTGGAGGGCTCTTGTGTACACGGTAATGAACCTTCAGGTTCCATAAAATGCTGGGAAATTCTTGAGTAGCTGCAGATTTGGCTTCTCCTCAAGAAGGGCTCAGCTCCGTAAGTAAGTAAACAAGCTATTCAGGGCAGGATAGACCGGGTTCAAGACGATATAGTTCAATCGTATTTTCACGTGTTAATAACCAGACTCGGGTCTTGCGCTAATAATTGGATTTAATTGACTCTTATAACTCGTAACTATAAGTAACTATGACAGTTTCACGTATCTACACACACTACAAATCTTTGTACTGCAGCGCACATAACGTCTTCTATATCTTCATTAGCCGTTGCTTGGTACCGGCCGCTAACAATAAAAGTTCCAATAAAAGTTCTTCTGCTTTGGTGCTCACGTCGCCACCGGATGACGGTTCCATCTTGACCTTTCCTTCTGCGCGAGAAATTAGGTCACTCTAATTTAAATTGTTGCTTCATACGAAAAGATGAAAGGCAAAGTTGTCCCTGTGCTTAATTAACGAAGCACTAGATTATGAAGACGTATGGGAGATTGACTCTATCGCTCCGTCATTCTTGACCTCGGCGCTAGATACAGCTGACTGGTCAGCTTCACGATCCAGCGGCTTTACCCTCAGTCACTGTACAAATTGTATAGGAGGCTGGATATTGTGGAGTAGAGAAAAATACTTTACTCTTGTTGTTAATATAACCCAAGCAATTCAGCCCGTCACTGTATCGACTGAGCCATCCCGGTTTATTGCTTTAATCTTAATGTCTCTAGAGGAAGCGGAAGACAAAATACGTGGAACAGAATGACAAGATATCCCACCTTGCATTTACGTGTGGAGAGTCTGGTTCTTCCTGCAGTGAAACTAATTAAGTGGCCCGGCCAGCCATTCTGTTTAGATGCAGCAACAGGAGCCCCCAGCGGGTATGAAAGTCAGAAGCCCTTGTGACACAGACTGGTCACTACCCTCTGTCCCTCTAAACCAAGTACGCCCAGCGCTTTGACTGATAAGCGTCACATTTCTAACTAATGCTTCACATTAAAACAGTTCTTCATGGATTTCGAGGGAGTAAAATGTTGGTCACCATTAAAGCTAGCACAGGTCTGCAGTATTTTCATTTAAAAATGTTGATAATATTTAAAATTCAAACATGTGTAGAGTGGGATAAAAAGACAAGTCAGGCGTGGCTTATAAAGAGCTAATATATTGTCACGTAGTACATGTGACTACAGACGGGTTTTGGATTGGTGAATAGGTTTATTGGACATTTACAGGTTGTAAATACAAATAACTATAGGCTATCACTATTTCCACACCCTAGAGTTCACTAGATGGTACAGTCTAGTATTCTCAGTTTGTTCCTAGACGTTTCCTGGTAACGTCTCCAACAATGACTATTCCTCTACATCCGGGCTCAAGTCCTCTCTTCACAGCCTCTCGCACAGAACTGACTAACAACTTACTAAAAGTCGAAGTCATAATTACTTTACGATTGGCGGTTTACCGTCAGTCAGTTCGTCTTGGCGTCAGGCCCCTTGAGGTCCACGACCAGAGTTTTTTTTTTAAACTGAACTTTTGCGGTAATAGTCCTTATATAACATCCTCTCTGAGAAAAGATGGGTTTGTCTGTTATGAATATGCTTCGCTTTTCGGCAAGTGTATGTTTAGCACATATAACATGTTATTGAAAATTCTTCCTTTTGCACTACACATAAGAGCTCTGTCAGTACTGGTTTAACAGAGCAGATCATGCCTAACTTACGTATCTTATTCTACAAAGGCAGCTTAATCAATTGAAGGGTCGTAAGCTTGACCACCGACAAGTTTAAGCCTCATATATTTTCTATGTCTGGCTTCATTTTGCCAACTGACTAAGAATAGAGAGAGAGAGAGAAGAAGTGGTGGTCGTAGTGAGAGATACTACATTGGGGTGGGGGGGGAAGAAACTATATCTCCGATTTTGAAGGTTCCCAGGCAGTGCCCACTTGTCCTTCTGGTAAAGATAGAGCATATGATCGGATTTTTTGTTTGTTTTTGCTAAAGTTGGGAGGGCTATATTAAGGCGAAATTTTGATGTTAACAATGGGAGGGCTGCATGTGAGGCATGCAGTGCAACGTGGAATTGGGTACCAACTCAGCATTTGCTCTAGTACCGAGGAAAACCACGGAAAACCTTGGTCGAGCTGGAAAATGTGGTTGTGTCAAGTGATGGCAAAGCTAACTAAGCTCCAAATCTCCCGGTTATAACACCTCGGCACGGACCATATAGAAAACACAATTATTCTACTATTGCATGTTGCGGACATTACTTAGCTACGATCGCTGTTTACAGAGTTACGGCACAACAACGGGTCTGTACGCCACAATATAATATTCATGTAGAGACCCAGAAAACCACAAAAAGTAATGAATTAGGAAGGCATCCCTATCCTGTATCTACCGGATATCTGCAGAATGGATATCATCTTTTCCCCTCAACAAGGAGCTCGGTGCTTTGGTTGATACTGAAGACCCAGTTCAAAAGCAGAAAATTTTCAAACTTTGTCGGTACTATTCTGCGTTAAGTTAACTTTGAAGGGGTGCTGAGTCCATAAAATTACACCTTATATAACAACAAATTCCGGTTGATTAATCGTATCCAAATTCAGCCGTTACTGGACAAGACTTAACCAGCGTTAAGTTAACTTTGAGCCGGTCATGACTGCAAGTAACACAGGTACAAGGGGCGGAGAGGGAAATCACAACAGTCGTGTCGGTATGTAGCGCGCCCTCAATAGATTGCAATGTCTCCCCGAGGAATAGATGCTGCTCTCAGGATGGGAGCGATCCAATTAAAATAATGCGCCAACAAGTGTTGGAACAACCCCTGCTTGCGCTGCAAACTCACCCTCTGGTCTCTGGGTTTCCAATCCCACCCCCTAGCCGGCCTCATATCCCCAGTGAAGCTGTTGCACTGCGTTTCAATTGACCAGTGACATTTTGATGTCCTGCTACTGGCTGCAAAATTGTGATTAGATTGTTCCCTGCATCCGAACAGGAGTGGATTTCGGGGGAGGGGGTGCTGTGGGAGACTAAAATTGGATTACGAGTGTTGAGCTAGTATTATATGATGATGATGATGATGATGGACTGGAGGGGAGGATTTTATAGTGGGGAGTGTTTTTCGTGAGTAAAGAGGGATGAGGTTGGAGGGTGGGTGGACTGTCGGAAAATGTATGGTTCATATGGAGTGTTATTAAGGTTGGGGGATGGATAAAGGGGATTACTGGCATAGAGCGCAGTGATACATGTGTGGTATGAAGCATAGTGCTTTAAAAACGTGTAAAGGGAAGTGGAAGAGCATACGATATTTTTATGGTGAGGAAATTACATTTTTTTAAAGGGCAAAGAGTGATTTTTCTACGTGAAATTGCTGCGTATGTGTTTTTATATAATTCATGGGTTTTGGTTATCTGTAATGTTAAGCGCGTTGAGGATCTGTGCTCTGGTGTGAAACAGTTTGTATAAAATATGGGCTAACAGAAATAATGTTAACCCATTTTACATTAATTTTACACATTAAAATTCTTCTGATCTGTGCCTGATATGTTGCTATTGCTTCAATAATGTGGCTGTAAACATTACTGGTATACGCTAAGTCAGCATTACATGTGTCCTGAACAGGAAATATCATTAGTTCAATAAATTCTGCCGTTA